GAAATAAATTAATTAGGCGCTAATTTATGAATTTCACATGACCGGGAATACAGATATGCATCTGTTGGTCACAGATACTTTGGACTTTCCTGCAGTCAGCATGCCAATTGCATTGTGGCATTGTGTTGTGTGACACAACTGCACATTTTAGAGTGGCATTTTACTGTCCCGAGTACAAGGTGTAATGATCATGCCGTTTAATCAGCTTCTTGATATGCCACAGCTGTCAGGTGGATGGATTATCTTGGCAAAGAAGAAATGCTCACTAACAGGGATGTAAACAAATTTGTGCACAACATTTGTAAGAAATAAGCTTTTTGTGTGTATAGAGAATTTCTGGGATATTTTATTTCAGCTCATGAAACATGGGACCAACACTTTACGTGTTGTGTTTATATTTGTGACTGGTTTCAGGAAACTAGGCATATGTCGCACGTCACTACTTCACAGGACAGGCATTTGAATGTAAACATTTATTTTTTATCAAAATGCGTTACTTTGGTGTAATGCCTCGGGAACATGTGAACTTTCATGTGCCTTAAATTCAAACATGTATTCCATCCATAAATACAATACAATTGTTAAATTACGAGCCTAGTTGGTTTAGCCACGGAAAAAGACAGAAACCGTCCTGCTAGCCATGATTGGCTGAGATTACGGATGGGCTGGACATGCCGGTAGATGGGTTTGGATTGGTCTGCCATGTAGCATGTGTCTGTCTATAACGTGAGCTGCACAGTGTGTGTTGATAGTCCTTTCTACCGCGTCGTTTTTGAAAGATATAACGTTAGTCCTCAAAAACTACAAAAGTATTGCTACTTTTCTCAACGACATTGATGCCCTGAATTTAGCACGCGCTATAGACAGATCAGTTGGAAAAAGTGATGAGCTACTTTCTGCACCCGCCACAGTCAGTGTGAACTGAAGTGATTTGACACAACACTGGCCAAACAAGATGTAGCTACAAACAAAACTGAGTTAAATGGTTCCAGTCTGCCGTGAAGCGTTCATCCATGTACAGTGGGGGAAAAAATTATTTAGTCAGCCACCTATTGTGCAAGTTCTCCCACTTAAAAAGATGAGAGAGGCCTGTAATTTTCATCATAGGTACACGTCAACTATGACAGACAAAATGAGAAGAAAAAAATCCAGAAAATCACATTGTAGGATTTTTAATGAATTTATTTGCAAATTATGGTGGAAAATAAGTATTTGGTCAATAACAAAAGTTTCTCAATACTTTGTTATATACCCTTTGTTGGCAATGACACAGGTCAAACGTTTTCTGTAAGTCTTCACAAGGTTTTCACACACTGTTGCTGGTATTTTGGCCCATTCCTCCATGCAGATCTCCTCTAGAGCAGTGATGTTTTGGGGCTGTTGCTGGGCAACACGGACTTTCAACTCCCTCCAAAGATTTTCTATGGGGTTGAGATCTGGAGACTGGCTAGGCCACTCCAGGACCTTGAAATGCTTCTTACGAAGCCACTCCTTCATTGCCCGGGCGGTGTGTTTGGGATCATTGTCATGCTGAAAGACCCAGCCACGTTTCATCTTCAATGCCCTTGCTGATGGAAGGAGGTTTTCACTCAAAATCTCACGATACATGGCCCCATTCATTCTTTCCTTTACATGGATCAGTCGCCCTGGTCCCTTTGCAGAAAAACAGCCCCAAAGCATGATGTTTCCACCCCCATGCTTCACAGTAGGTATGGTGTTCTTTGGATGCAACTCAGCATTCTTTGTCCTCCAAACACGACGAGTTGAGTTTTTACCAAAAAGTTCTATTTTGGTTTCATCTGACCATATGAAATTCTCCCAATCCTCTTCTGGATCATCCAAATGCACTCTAGCAAACTTCAGACGGGCCTGGACATGTACTGGCTTAAGCAGGGGGACACGTCTGTCACTGCAGGATTTGAGTCCCTGGCGGCGTAGTGTGTTACTGATGGTAGGCTTTGTTACTTTGGTCCCAGCTCTCTGCAGCTCATTCACTAGGTCCCCCCGTGTGGTTCTGGGATTTTTGCTCACCGTTCTTGTGATCATTTTGACCACACGGGGTGAGATCTTGCGTGGAGCCCCAGATCGAGGGAGATTATCAGTGGTTTTGTATGTCTTCCATTTCCTAATAATTGCTCCCACAGTTGATTTCTTCAAACCAAGCTGCTTACCTATTGCAGATTCAGTCTTCCCAGCCTGGTGCAGGTCTACAATTGTGTTTCTGGTGTCCTTTGACAGCTCTTTGGTCTTGGCCATAGTGGAGTTTGGAGTGTGACTGTTTGAGGTTGTGGACAGGTGTCTTTTATACTGATAACAAGTTCAAACAGGTGCCATTAATACAGGTAACGAGTGGAGGACAGATGAGCCTCTTAAAGAAGAAGTTACAGGTCTGTGAGAGCCAGAAATCTTGCTTGTTTGTAGGTGACCAAATACTTATTTTCCACCATAATTTGCAAATAAATTCATTATCAATCCTACAATGTGATTTTCTGGATTTTTTTTCCTCAATTTGTCTGTCATAGTTGACGTGTACCTATGATGAAAATTACAGGCCTCTCTCATCTTTTTAAGTGGGAGAACTTGCACAATTGGTGGCTGACTAAATACTTTTTTTCACCACCTGTATATGGGTAAGTCTAGCTACATTTTCAGATATTATAAGTTTCTAATTTTGTCAGAAAGTCGTTTTCATTGCAAGTTAAAGCGTACTGTTCGCTAGCTAGTGAACGTTAGCTTGCTGGCTCGCTAGCTAACGTTACGTGTATGATCTGTGTAGTAATATTATTCAAATCAGAAAGACATTTGCATTGCTAGTTATAGCCTAATGTTAGCTAGCTAACATTGAACCTAGTTGTTAGATTTAGCTACCTGCACATTAATACTACCGCTATGACAATGTTTGTATTGGTAGTAGTATGAGTTGGGATTATGCCGGTTCATTGTTTAGGTAGCAACCTAGCTAGCTACATGTCTACACAAAACACTCCACTTCACCAGATGATTACATGACCCATCAAGTTAGCCAGGTGTGTCTGGGGGTGATTATGGCCATCTATTGTATTTCATGAACATGTGTACATGTCTAGACAATAGTGACCCATCCACATCCGCTAGATGTGGCTGGGGGTGGTTATAGCATTTTCTTCACACAACCCATTAATTTAGACAAGTGTGTCGGGTAAGCGTCATCTAATAATTATTTTAAAAAATTATCTGGCCACTTTCTCTTTTTGCTATTGCTACTATGCTAGTAACCATTTCACTGTACATTTTACACCTTCTGTATCCTGTGCATGTGACAAGTAAACTTAGGTTTGATTTGATATAGTGTGTGTTTACCAGAGACGGTAATGTGAAGAACAACATCACCTGCACCAAAGTCAGATTAGGATATAGGCCAAGGACTAGATAAAGTGTATTTTTACCTGTATTTTTTCCTTATTGTAGGCTACTACTTTTACCACTTTTAGTCTTAATCTTTGGTTGTTTACTAAACTACTCACTCTGTTTAGCACATGGCCTCACATGTGAATCCTTAAAGAGATGGGTGGGGCTAAGGCTTAAGAGGGTGTGAACGATGCTGAATGGGTGTAGACAAAGAAGAGCTCTCCAGTAGGTGTAACAAAACATTCAAGGGCCATTTTCTCAAAAGTGTGGTTACAAGTTTATTAACTTTCAAAGCAGAATTACTTTCCCATTGTTCCTCAACTGCAGTGTATGATATACCATTTTCTAGCTCTGAGTCTCTACTTTTATCCAATGTAAAAAAAAACACAATTTCAAATTTTGCTACATAAGACCGAATCGAGGCGGTCGGTCACATTTTTGTTCAGTGTGGTGCACATGAAGAACAAAACACAAATGCTGTACGTAAACAAGCCTTTATTAATTGAAAAAATAACTCTCCTCTACCTCCACTAAATTATGAGGAACATTTCAGGAAATCTCTCTTGATTTCTCTCTTAACCTTCAACAAACATTTTGTCAAGTTACTGTCTGTTGATATTATGGCTTTTGCTTTCAATGTGTGAAAATAATGTAAATGAATCGACACCTTTATAAGAAAAATATAAACTTTGATTCTTTGTTTTGACTCTTCAGGGGTGTAGGCGATAGTAATAAAAAGTTTGTAATCTGCAACCAGCACATCTACATTATCTCTGAAGTACATTCTCTAGGAAAGCTTTACAACAACTCTTCAAATTGAATTGGTATAACATTTATTTTCCAGATATCAGTGGTTCTATTTTTCTACTCTAAAGTGACATTTTCGTGTGTTAAAAACGTTGTATCAAAAGACCTAATCAAGCAATTATACAGACCACTGACATTAGCTTGTGTGTCTGACTGTTTTTGCATTCAACAACATTGCATTGTTCCTTTGATCAGTTTTTGCAAATATACCTAAACACTTCTTGCGGCTCCTTTGTTGATCTGAAGGAATGGATGGGTGGGGGGCTACCAGAGTTATTGGAGTTTCAGGCATATTGCTTAAACCTATCCCTACTTGTCAGTTCTTTAAAGGGATTGTTATCTACTTCCCCAGAATCAGATGAACTCGTGGATACCATTTTTATGTATATGTGTGGAGTTTGAAGGAAGTTCTTAACTAGCGCTAGCGCAATTGCTAACTAGCTTAAGCGCAATGACTGGAAGTCTATGGGTATCTGCTAGCATGCTTCCAGTCATCGTGTTAATGCTAGTTAGCATTGGCTTGCGAAACTAACTCTAACTTCCTTCATTCTGGACACAGAGACCTAACTGTCTCTGGGGAAGTAGATATAGGGCATCATTGCCAAAATCCTGAAGTATCCTTTTAAGGGGTCACTTAGTTGTCTACTCTAAGAATTGAGTTAACAGCCTGGGCTTAGGCCTATGACATCGGTCCTGTTCAAATACCTTAGAATGCATACTTCCTCCCTGCCTACCTTGATTACTTCAAGGAAGTGGGGAGGAAGGATGTATTGTAAATGTATTGGAACAAGGCCTTAGTGTTTAGTTTAGTAATCGTTGATCTTGTACTCGTAGTTGTAATCCAAGATGGAGTCCGTGAAACCTTCCGGCGCTGACGTTTGCCCCTCTCCTATGAACCACGAGTCGTACCAGGCAGTGGTGGGCTCCGCCTCTGTTGTTGTGGGAACCGGTGTGGTCGTCGGGGGCAACGTTGTTGTCGATCTCATCAGTTTCTGTTGTCGTAGACGATGGAGGCGGGCGAGCCTTAGCTTTCGCTGTTGCATGCGACGCATCTCAGGATCCATGGCGGTACCACCGTTGTTATGCACCACACGCCTGTTACCATTGGAGACTGTGTTCAGTCGTGTTCCCCCGTTGCCGTGGCTGAGCAGGCGAATGGGCTTGTTGCCGTGCAGGGCCATGATCTGTGGATGAATAGATAGCATTTATATAGTGCTTCATTGGCTCTAAAGTGGCTAATAGGCAATCTAATTATAATTGTAGGTGTAACAGTACCCACTTTTTTTTAAGGGGGTATATCAGCTTTAATATTGCAGATAGATTGTAACTTCCATCAATGTAATTGTCTGCATCACTTCCAATCCCCCATCTGTTTTTTTCTTCTTCTTTTTTTCTCGCATATATATATATATATATATATATATATATATATATTTCCCTTTATTAATTTCCAACCCCACCATCCCTTCCCTAATTGGAGTAAACTAGTGAACAACAATGCTTAGGCCTCTACTTCATGCGGATACATACTATATACATTTTATGGACACAGTCAATAACTATATATATTTTTTTTTTTACTCCTGAACTTCCTCCGATCATTTTCATGATGTCCATCTGGCTGGTATGCTTCTATATGCCATATCTTTCTAACTGTGCTCTTTCACAAAAGCTCACAATATATAACCTTAAAAGTCTTTAGTCAGCCACCAATTGTGCAAGTTCTCCCACTTAAAAGATGTGACTGGCCTGTAATTTCATCATGAGTACAAGTCAACTATGACGACAACGTGAAAAAAAAATCCGGTAAAATCCCAATTGTGAGTTGTATGGAATTGAGCTTTGCAATTATGGTGAAATAAGTATTTGGCTGCACCTAGAAACAAGTCAGAGATTTCTGGCTCTCACGACCTGTACTTCTTCTTTAAGGCTCCTTGTCCTCCACTCGTTACCTGATAATCACACTACTGTTTGAACTTGTTATCCATAAAAGGACACCTGTCCAAACCTCAAACAGTCACACTCCAAACCTCCACTATGGCCAAGACCAAAGCAGCTGTCAAGGGACACCATAGAACAAATTGTATGCCTGCACCCGGCTGGAATAATCTGCAATAGGTAGCAGCTTGGATTTAGAAAAGATCAACTGTGGGAGCAATTATTAGAATGGTAGACATACAAGGACCACTGATCCCCAAAAATCCTGAGTGCCGGTTCACCGCAAGATTATCCCCGTGGCGTACAAATTGATCACAAACGAACGGTGAGCAAAATCCTAGATACCACTACGAGGGGGAAACCTAGTGACATGACATTATGCAGCAGAGCTAGCGACCCAGTAACAAAGCCTCACCATCATGGTACACACTACGAGCCAGGGACTCAAATCCTGCAGGCAAGACGTGTCCCCTCATAAGCCATAACATGTCCAAACCCGTCTGAAGTTTGCTAGAGGTCATTTTGGATGATCGAAGAGATTCGGAGAATTCAATATGGTCATGATGAAAACACAAAATAATTATTAATTTTAGAGCCCTTTACAAAACTCTTAGACCTCGCGTGTTTGGAGGACAAGAATTGCTGATTTGCATCCAAGAACACCATACTGCGTGTTAACATGCGGGTGAACCTCAAGCTTTGGTGGCTGGTGTTTTCTGCAAAGGTACCAGGACGACGATCCGGTAAAGGAAAGAATGAATGGGGCCATGTCACGTGAGGATTTTAGAGTGAAAACCTCCTCCATCAGGAGGCATTGAGATGAAACGTGGCTGGTCCTTCAGCATGACAATGACCCAAACACACCGCCCGGCAACGAAGGAGTGGCTTCGTAAAAGCATTCAAGGTCCTGGAGTGGCCTAGCCAGTCTCCAGATCCAACCCATAGAAAATCTTTGGAGGGAGTTGAAAGCCGTGTTGCCCAGCGACAGCCCCAAACATCACTGCTCTAGAGGAGATCTGCATGGAGGAATGGGCCAAATACCAGCAACATGTGTGAAAAACCTTGTGAAGACTTACAGAAAACGTTTGACCTGTTGTCATTGCCAACAAAGGGTATATAACAAAGTATTGACAAACTTTTGTTATTGACCAAATACTTATTTTCCACCATAATTTGCAAATAAATTCATTAAAAAGTCCTACAATGTGACTTCTGGATTTTTTTTTCTCATTTTGTCTGTCATAGTTGACGTACTGTGGCATTAGCGATGGGGTTTCCCTCATTGTCTTTTACCACACCCCTGATCCCACGATGCACCTGGGTGGGGTGAAAACCAAGGATCAAAAGGTCAGTAACTCTACAGCAGTGGCATACAAACTTTTTCAGCAGGGACTGCATTTTTCCCCAAAATAATTTCTGGGGACCCCATTTTTTCCCTCTAATTTATTTTGCGATCCCACCGCACCCTAAATCTAATGACAGAACCTTGAAATCAGTCAATTCATAGGTTTATTTTCATTTTGATAAGAGATGAAAATGCTATCTTCCTAAAATACATTTGTATATTGTCCCATACAATAATCTGTACCAGCTGTTCCCAAACTAGGGGTTGCGATCCTATGTGGGGTCACCTGATATGAAAATGGGGTCGCAGGAGAATTTCCAAAATCAAAAAAATCTATATATACAGTACCAGTCAAAAAAGGTGGACACACCTACTCAATCAAGGGTTTTTTCTTTATTTTGACTGTTTTCTACATTTTCTACATGAAATAACACATATGGAATCATGTAGTAACCAAAGAAGTGTTAAAGAAATCAAAATATATTTTAGATTTTAGATTCTTCAAAGTAGCCTCCCTTTGCCTTGATGATAGTTGATGCACCTTTGGCAGCGATTACAGCCTCTAGTCTTTTTGTGTATGATGCTACAAGCTTTGCACACCTGTATTTGGGGAGTTTCTCCCATTATTCTCTGCAGATCCTCTCAAACTCTGTCAGGTTGGATGGGGAGCGTCGCTGCATAGCTATTTTCAGGTCTCTCCAGAGATGTTCGATCGGGTTCAAGTCCAGGCTCTGGTTAGGCCACTCAAGGACATTCAGAGACTTGTCCCTAAGCCACTCCTGCGTTGTCTTGGCTGTGTGCTTGGGGTTGGTGTCCTGTTGGAAGGTGAACCTTCACCCCAGTCTGAGGCCCTGAGCACTCTGGAGCATGTTTTCATCAAGGATCTTTCTGTACTTTGCTCCATTCATCTTTCCCTCTATCCTGACTAGTCTCCCAGTCCCTGCCGCTGAAAAACATCCCCACAGCATGATGCTGCCACCACCGTAGGGATGGTGCCAGGTTTCCTCCAGACATGACGCTTGACATTCAGGATAAAGAATTCAATCTTGGTTTCATCAGACTAGAGAATCTTGTTTCTCATGGTCCTTTAGGTGCCTTTTGGCAAACTCCAAGCAGGCTGTCATTTACCTTTTACTGAGGAGTGGCTTCCGTCTGGCCACTCTACCATAAAGGCCTGATTGGTGGAGTGCTGCAGAGATGGTTGTCGTTCTGGAAGGTTCTCCTATCTCCACAGAGGAACTCTGGAGCTCTGTCAGAGTGACCATCGGGTACTTGGTCACCTTCCTGACAAAGGACCTTCGTCGCAGATTGCTCAGTTTGGCAGGGCGACCAGCTCTAGGAAGAGTCTTGGTGGTTCCAAAGTTCTTCCATTTAAGAATGATAGAGGCCCACTGTGTTCTTGGGGACCTTCCATGCTGCAGACATTTTTCGGTACCCTTCCCCAGGTCTGTGCCTCGACACAATCCTGTCTCGGCACTCTACGGACAATTCCTTCGGCCTCATGGTTTGGTTTTTGCTCTGACGTGCACTGTCAACTGTGGGACCTTATATAGAATGGTGTGGGCCTTTCCAAATCACGTGCAATCAATTGAATTTACCACAGGTGGACCCCAATCAAGTTGTAGAAACATCTCAAGGATGATCAATGGAAACAGGATGCACCTGAGCTCAATTTCGAGTGTCATAGCAACGGATCTGAATACTTACAGTTGAAGTCAGAAGTTTACATACACTTAGGTTGGAGTCATTAAAACTCATTTTTCAACCACTCCACAAATTTATTGTTAACAAACTACAGTTTTGGCAAGTCCATTAGGACATTTTTACATTTTAGTCATTTAGCAGACACTCTTATCCAGAGCGACTTACAGTTAGTGAGTGCATACATTTTTTCATACTGGCCCCCCGTGGGAATCGAACCCACAACCCTGGCATTGCAAGCGCCATGCTCTACCAACTGAGCTACACTTTGTGCATGACACAAGTAATTGTTTACAGACAGATTATTTCACTTAATTCACTGTATCAAAATGTATGCACTCACTAACTGTAAATCGCTCTGGATAAGAGCGTCTGCTAAATGACTAAAATGTAAAAATGTAAAAAATGTATCACAATTCCAGTGGGTCAGAACTTTTTTATTTATTGTATTTATTTCACCTTTATTTAACCAGGTAAGCCAGTTGAGAACAAGTTTTCATTTACAACTGCGACCTGGCCAAGATAAAGCAAAGCAGTGCGGTAAAAACAACAACAACACAGAGTTACATATGGAATAAACAAATCGTACAATCAATAACACAAAAGAAAATCAATATACAGTGTGTGCAAATGTAGTAAGTTATGGAGGTAAGGCAACTTTACATACACTAAGTTGACTGTGCCTTTAAACAGCTTGGAAAATACCAGAAAATGATGTCATGGCTTTAGAAGCTTCTGATAGGCTAATTGACATCATTTGAGTCAATTGGAGGTGTACCTGTGGATGTATTTCAAGGCCTACCTTCAAACTCAGTGCCTTTTTGCTTGACATCATGGGAAAATCAAAAGAAATCAGCCAAGACTTCAGAAAAAAAATGGTAGACCTCCACAAGTCTGGTTCATCCTTGGGAGCAATTTCCAAACGCCTGTAGGTACCACGTTCATCTGTACAAACAATCGTACGCAAGTATAAACACCATGGGCCATGCAGCCGTCATACCACTCAGGAAGGAGATGCGTTCTGTCTCCTAGAGATGAACGTACTTTGGTGCGAAAAGTGCAAATCAATCCCAGAACAACAGCAAAGGACCTTGTGAAGATGCTGGATGAAACGGGTACAAAAGTATCTATATCCACAGTAAAACGAGTCCAAATCGACATAACCTGAAAGGCCGCTCAGCAAGGAAGAAGCCACTGCTCCAAAACCACCACAAAAAAGCCAGACTACGGTTTGCAACTGCACATGGGGACAAAGATCGTACTTTTTGGAGAAATGTCCTCTGGTCTGATGAAACAAAAATAGAACTGTTTGGCCATATTGACCATCGTTATGTTTGGAGGAAAAAGGGGGCTGCTTGCAAGCCGAAGAACACCATCCCAACCGTGAAGCACGGGGGTGGCAGCATCATGCTGTGGGGGTGCTTTGCTGGAGGAGGGACTGGTGCACTTCACAAATTAGATGGCATCATGAGGAAGGAAAATTAGGTGGATATACTGAAGCAACATCTCAAGACATCAGTCAGGAAATGGGTCTTCCAAATGGACAATGACCCCAAGCATACTTCCAAAGTTGTGGCAAAATGGCTTAAGGACAACAAAGTCAAGGTATTGGAGTTGCCATCAAAAAGCCCGGACCTCAATCCCATAGAACATTTGTGGGCAGAACTGAAAAAGCGTGTGCGAGCAAGGAGGCCTACAAACCTGACTCAGTTACACCAGCTCTGTCAGAAGGAATGGGCCAAAATTCACCCAACTTATTGTGGGAAGCTTGTGGAAGGCTACTCGAAATGTTTGACCCAAGTTAAACAATTTAAAGGCAATGCTACCAAATACTAATTGAGTGTATGTAAACTTCTGACCCACTGGGAATGTGATGAAAGAAATAAAAGCTGAAATAAATCATTCTCTTTACTATTATTCTGACATTTCACATTCTTAAAATAAAGTGATGATCCTAACTAACCTAAGACAGGGTTTTTTACTAGGATTAGATGTCAGGAATTGTGAAAAACTGAGTTTAAATGTATTTGGCTAAGGTGTATGTAAACCTCCGACTTCAACTGTATGTAAGTAAGATATTTCCGTTTTTTAAAATACATTTAGAAAATTTTAGAAAAACCTGTTTTCACTTTGTCATGATGTGGTATTGTGTGTAGATTGATGAGGGAAATAAATAATTTAATCAATTTTAGAATAAAGCTGTAACGTAACAAAATGTGGAGAATGTCAAGGGGTCTGAATACTGTATGACATTTTGGCGCGACCCAGACTTTGAATACCACTGCTCTATAGCCACACTCCAGGACTGTGTGTGTGTTTGGTATATTCTCCAACTTTGTATATTGTTTCTCTGTGTGTGTGCATACATGTGTCTGTGTGTGTGTCTGTATGTGTGTCTGTGTGTGCATAATGTGTCTGTGTGTGTGTCTGTATGTGTGTCTGCATACATGTATGCACGCACGACTGTAAGTCGCTTTGGATAAAAGCGTCTGCTAAATGGCATATTATTATTATTATTATTATGTGTCTGTGTGTGTGTGTCTGTATGTGTGTGTGTGTGTGTGTGTGTGTGTGTACCTGCTCCATGAAGGTGAGCATGGCCTCTCTGTTCTTCTCCCACTCAATGACCAGCTCACTCTGATGGGGGAACTTATCACAGCCCAGGAACACTGACAGCTCCAGACAGTTAGTGTGCAGGTAGCTGAAGTCATTCATACCTGAGGATGAGAGGAGGGGATGGGAGGGGAAGATAGGTGGCAATGAGAATCTGCAATGCACATGATGAGTCACCAGAGAGCGCCATTATCCTCAAAACTGGGTACTTTACTCTGATCAATGTTACATTACAGCTTTCAACCTTTTTGAACTACTGTATGTAATGTCGACTAAAATGGCTTAATGAACAGCAGACAACAATGGAATAAAAATGGGATGTTGTCGGTCAGACTGTGTCCTTACTTCCTGTGACGGGCTGCCACTTGGCGCGATTGACGATTCCAACGCCTCCAGTGACGTCATTGCCGTGACAGGAGCCGTGGGAAGTGTATGTCATCGACAGGTGAGTAGAGGCGTAAGAGATGGCCAACCACCTATAACACACAAACACACACATACAGTCAGATAGGGTAATCTGGTCCTAGATCTGTGGTTAACTTCATGCTACACACCTGAAAAAGGAGGCGTCTGCTGCGGCCCTGGGTTCATCCTCAGGCTCTGTGTACCCCCCTCCCCCTCTCCCTCTGTCATCCTCCTCTTCCTCTTCCCTGTGGCCATAGCCATGTCCCCTCCACTCCTCCTCCAGCTGCTGGTCTCCCCTGTTCCACTGGTTTTCTTCCGGCTGCTGGTATCCCCTGTTCCACTGGTTTTCTTCCGGCTGCTGGTATCCCCTGTTCCACTGGTCCGCTTCTGGCTGCTGGTATCCTCTGTTCCACTGGTCTTCTTCTGGCTGCTGGTATCCCCTGATGTTATAATCTTCCTCCGGCTCCTCACGGTCATAGCCCCTCCCCCACGCCGTCAGGTCAAACTCCTCCTCGTACCTAGAAGAATGATTTAGATTTAGTTGATTGTTTATTTGGTTTCATGTCATTATTAATCTGCCAAAAATAGCAAGAGTGCAGGAAGAGAGAGGGAGGGAGAGAGAGAGAGCAGGAGTGCATGAAGAGAGAAAGAGAGAGAGCAAGATTGCAGGAAGAGAGAGAGAGAGCGCAAGAGTGCAGGAAGAGAGAAAGAGAGAGAGTGCAGGAAGAGAGAGAGAGAGTGCAGGAAGAGAAAGAGAGCGAGAGAGAGACGGGAAGACAAACAGAGAAAGAGAGAGGAAGCGCCTCGTACTGTCTCTTCTTGCGGCTCTGTGCCCTCTCTCTGTCGCCCTCTCTGGTGCTGGCGCCGGTGGTCTTGGTTAGGCGGTGATTGTCGTAGGGGTACGCCACCAGCCTCTCCCCCCCCTGGAAGTTGGCCCCCAGTACGAATGGGTGGCTCTCCATCCACGAGATGATGGCTCGAGTCTCCACAGCAATCTGCAGGACAAGAAGAACAAACAGCAGCCGTCTTGTTGAGTTGATAGACAGAGAAATGAACTTGCTTGTACTGTCTCTGCTCTTCACACCATCTACATTTCCTTCCCTCCTGTTTCTCCCCTCCTGTCTTTATCCCCTCTCTTTCTCCCCTACCTTCCCCTCCCTCCCTGCCCTCTCCCTTCCTTCAATTCCTTCCTCCACACACCCTGTCATCCCCCTCTTGGTCTGCAGGGATCTTGACATGGTGATTGGGGATCAGTTTGGGCACCATGCCCTTGTCCTCGGCCTCCCACAAAACACTGTTCAGGTCAGGGAAGTTCTGGAAGATGTCATGGCCGTCCTCCGTCCAGTGGCCTGTGGTCCAACCACTCAGCTCGGAACCCTGTGGTGGCAATGGGACAGGATGTTATGGAGAGAACCTTACAGAACCGAGCAGGACTGCATATTTACTACAGTAATATCAACGTGTTCAAACCAAACGTCTTAGGATTTGCTTGAATGTATCTAGTCTTGACTTAACATATCAAATATGTTTTCTTCTCGAGGAAAATAAAGCTGCGTGCCAGACTGTTCCTGCATACAACAATACTTTCCTACAGGACAAGAAGTTGGCTAAAACAGAAACTGTCTGGCACCCCTTTTCCTTAATAGAAGAAAACAGATTTGGAAGAGTAAAGTATAAATACAGGCATTTGGGCATGGCATTTTGGAAAAGAATTACTTAATTTTTTAATTTAAATGTAGTTGGGTACATCTTCCCATTCTAAATCAAGTACTATGGGAGCGTAATGACTTGAAATATCTTTTTACCATTATGATAACATTGTGCCACCAGTGGAGTAGTAACACCAATGAGGATTTTCTGAAATGGAGGTCACAAATGCTCAAATCAAAGGTCATCAAACCTTTAAAAAATAATTTACTAAAGTGATAAGATTAATTATTTCCATTCATTTAAATTGGCTGACAGCAAGTGACACAAAAGTATTAATAGAATTCTCAAATCTATGACATACTTAAAGGTTGTGAATAGCTTATACTTTAATTTAATATAGAACCCTCCCTCAATAACAGTTTGCCACTGGAGAGAATGCTCAAGGTCCTTGTATATCTTTGTAATCAGTGATTTTCAAGGCGGTAACACCAATGACATAAAACAGAGGGACACACATTATACTAGTAAAAAAATAGGTGTTTTTATTGATCTACAGCAGGGGTATTCAACTCTTACACTACTTGGTCCGCAGCCTGCAGCTTTTCTGTTCTACCCAATCATTAATTGCACCCACCTTGTGTCTCAGGTTTAAATCAGTCCCTGATTAGAGGGGAACAATTAAAAAATACAGTGGAACTGGCTTCGCGGTCCAGAGTTGAGTTTGAGGTATCTAAAGTATACAATATGAAATACTTTTGTTCACTGTCTAGCATTCAAAATAATAGATAGATACAGTATCTCTAAACCCCAAAACATGTCACTACACCCCTACACATCACCAGTGGGACAAGCCAATTTGCTAGCCCCCAGTAGTTTCAAAAAATGCATACAAATATATGTTTTGCAGTATAAAGGACTTACATATGTTTTCTTATTAAATAACAGTGAAATAAAATTAGAATGTATTATTTGTCATGTTTTTGTCATTTTTTATTGTTTTTACATGGTGGCCAAAGTCAAGGGACAGAATTAACCACCGTAATTCAAGAATTAACCGTATTATACCCAGTACTGACCGCTGTGAGGGCCTTCTCCTGCCCGTCAGGGTTGAGTGAGGGCACCAGGTGGATACGTATTCCCTCCACCAGGCGGCGCACTCTGGGGTTGCCATCCCTGTACTCCTTACACAGGTACTGCAACAGAAGAAGAACCATCTCCCGTCCCGTCGCCTCGTTTCCATGGAGACCGGCCGTGTAGCGGAACTCCGGCTCACCTAAGGAGAAAAACACAGATTGTCATTGTCTTTCCATGCCTGAGAGGACACAAGTACAGAGCTTTCTATGAAAGTTAGCCTGGAATAACTAATGGGTGCATGTTCTGAAAAGTGTGGACACAGACACAATATTTGTTTCATCCCACCTATCTCGTGTTCTGTGGGGTTGCCTGATATCACCATGGCCAGGATGTCCAGTCCATTGGAGCTGCGGCCCAGGCTGTACATACTGGTGATGTTGGGACACTCCTCCGACACAGACTTCATCAGCTAACAGAAGAGACATACAGGGGAAAGCAGCAGTCACCAACCCTGGTCCTAGACACCTACAGTGAGTATGTGCAACACATCTTATTCAATTAAGTGTCAAGACAGTGTTGAAGTCAGTTGTCACAAGCTGGCACACAAAACATTAGGTTCATACAGGTGGTACTGATGACCTTAAGGATTGAAGTCCCCTCAAATAGGAGTGTTCCATCTCACCGTGACCATGTCTGAGTAGTTGTGATGTCTGAAGTCCAGGTACTGGACTGGAGTCACCTCATTCTGCAGCCTCTGGTAGGCACTGGTGGGGTCTGAGGAGATAAAAACACACAGTGTGAGTGTTTGTGTGTGTTTTATGTTTTACTATCCGTGTGGGGACCAGAAGTCTGGTAGGGTGGGTACGTGTGTCACTCACCAGGCAGAGGGCAGCCTAGTACCTCAAGCCTCATACAGCAACTGCCATTCCAGCTCTGAGGGATAACTCTGATGTAACGTGCTAGTATGGGCTCAGCTAACTGATTCAGCACTGGGGTATCCTTATCGGAGTTACCAAAAAACAACTAGAGAGAGAGAGGTGGTGGGGGGGGAGAGGTAAAGAGAGGGGGAGAGACAAATATATTGACATGGTAAACTTTTGTGCCCCACAAAAAGAGCATGAGAGTGAACCCTGGGTCCAAAGCACATTTGAAGAAGTGAGGCTGACAGACTCACCCAGTCAGAGTAACCGTCATGGATGGTTTTCCATTCTCTGCTGTCATTACTGAATTGCACGTAGTAGGACGTCACAAAGTCACTCCTGAAAAGATGCATACAAATTTTGTCACCATTTTGTCTTTGATATTTCTGAAATTGTCTGTGCGCTTGTATGTGTGTTTGTGTGTGTGTGTGGTGTGGTTTTACTATCCTTGTGGGGACCAAAGTCCCCACAAGGATAGTAAAACAAGGAAAAAGGCTATTTTAGGTTTATGGGTTAGAATTAAGATTAGGGGTTAGGTTTAGGGTTATTTGTCTCCCGAGTGGCGCAGTGGTCTAAGGCACTGCATCGCAGTGCTAGCTGTGCCACTAGAGATCCTGGTTCGATTCCAGGCTCTGTCGTAGCCGGCCGCGACCGGGAGAGCCATGGGGCGGCGCACAATTGGCTCAGCGTCGTCCAGGGTAGGGGAGGGAATGGCCGGCAGGGATGTAGCTCAGTTGGTAGAGCATGGTGTTTGCAACGCCAGGGTTGTGGGTTTGATTCCCACGGGGGGCCAGTATGTAAAAATAATGTATGCACTCACAAACTGTAAGTCGCTCTGGATAAGAGCGTCTGCTAAATGACGTAAATGTAAATGTGTTAGGGTTAGATTTTGTTTCAGAGTTAGGGGTTTGGGGTTAGGGTTAAGGTTAAGGGTTAGGTTTAGGGTTACGAGTTAGGGAAAATAGGATTTTGGAGGATTCAAGGATAGTAAAATAAGTGTGTGTGTGTGTGTGTGTGTCTTACTCGTTGCGTGAGTCTCGTCCCTGTGTTATGATCCCAGTAAATTCTGTTGCTCTGCGAGCGTCCATCTCAAACCAGTGAATATTGTCCTCTGGGTTAGGACACCACGCCCCACCACGCATGTCCTCCTCATCATCCGAAGCCTGGAAACCATGGAAACCATACAGTGTTGGAGATGAGGGTAAGGGGGCTTACAGGTACGGTTCGAATTAGTGTGAGGAGTGTACCTGCATGTTGAGTCATGCTCTGTGTTGGCTGGAGCAGTACTGAGACATAGGGTTAGGGTTAGTCAATGTGTTAGGGTTAGTGTGTGAGGGTTAGTGTATAAGGGTTATGGGTTAGTGTGAGAGGGTTAGAGTTAGTTTGTGAGGGTTAGGGTCAGTGTGTGAGGGTTAATGTTAGTGTGTGAGGGTTAGGATCAGTGTGTGAGGGTTAGGATCAGTGTGTGAGGGTTCGAGGATCAGGGCCGTAATGTGAGGGTAGGATCATGTGTAGGGTTTAGTGTTAGTGTGTGAAGGTTAGTGTCTGAAGGTAAGGTAGTGTGTGAGGTTAGTTGTAGGGTTAGTGTTAGTGTGAGAGTTAGGTAATGTGTGAGGGTTAGGGTCATGTGTTGAGGGTTAGTGTAGTGTGAGGGTTAGTGTGTGAGGGTCAGGTTAGGGTTAGTAGTGTGAGGGTTAGTGTTAGTGTGTGAGGGTTAGTGGTCAGTGTGTGAGGGTCAGTGTGTGAGGGTTAGGGTCAGTGTGTTAGGGTTAGGTAGTGTGTAGGGTTAGGTCAGTGTGTAGTAGGGTTAGGAGTCAGTGTGTGAGGGTTAGTAGTGTGAGGTTAGTGTTAGGTAGTGTGTGAGGGTGTTAGTGGTGAGTAGTTGTGAGGGTTAGGGTCAGTGTGTGAGGGTTAGGGTAGTGTGTGAGGGTTAGGGTCAGTGTGTGAGGGTTAGGTCAGTGTGTGAGGGTTAGGTAGTGTGTGAGGGTTAGGGTCAGGTGTGAGGGTTAGGGTCAGTGTGTGAGGGTTAGTGTATGAAGGTTAGGGTCAGTGTGTGAGGGTCAGTGTGTGAGGGTTAGGGTCAGTGTGTGAGGGTTAGTGTTAGTGTGTGAGGGTTAGTGTTAGTGTGTGAGGGTTAGTGTGTGAGGGTAGGTCAGTGTGGAGGGTTAGGGTCAGTGTGTGAGGGTTAGGGTCAGTGTGTGAGGGTGTGGGTCAGTGTGGTGGGGTAGTGTGGAGGGTTAGGGTCAGTGTGTGAGGGTTAGAGGTAGCAGTGTGTGAGGGTAGTGTGTGAGGGTTAGGTCAGTGTGTGAGGGTTAGGGTCAGTGTGAGGGTTAGGGTCAGTGTGTTAGGTTTAGGGTCAGTGTGGTGAGGGTTAGTGTCATGTGTGAGGTTAGGGTCAGTGTGTGAGGGTTAGGTCAGTGTGTGAGGGTTAGGGTCAGTGTGTGAGGGTTAGGGTCAGTGTGTGAGGGTTAGGGTCAGTGTGTGAGGGTTAGTGTTAGTGTGTGAGGGTTAGTGTGTGAGGTTAGGTCAGTGTGTGAGGGTTAGGGTAGTGTGTGAGGGTTAGGGTCAGTGTGTGAGGGTTAGGGTCAGTGTGTGAGGGTTAGGGTCAGTGTGTGAGGGATTAGGGTCAGTGTGTGAGGGTTAGGTCAGTGTGTGAGGGTTAGGGTCAGTGTGTGAGGGTTAGGGTCAGTGTGTGAGGGTTAGGGTCAGTGTGTGAGGGTTAGGTCAGTGTGTGAGGATTAGGGTCAGTGTGTGAGGTTAGGGTCAGTGTGTGAGGGTTAGGGTCAGTGTGTGAGGGTTAGTGGTCAGTGTGTGTAGGATTAGGGTCAGTGTGTGAGGGTTAGTGTTACCTGCATGTTGAGTCGTGCCCTGCCCTGGCTGTAGCGATAGTGAGACATGGAGGAGGCCAGCAGCTGGTCTGATTCTATCCTGTGAGACTCCATACCCAGGGGAGGACACTCTGCCACCAGGGGAAAACATCTCAGTCACACACACATCTCAAAAACTTCTAACCACAATGAAAAACCTCTTACGCGTTTGCTAAAACTCTTGCCAACCGATTATCTCAAATAAATGTAAGTATTGTATCATTGGATGGTAGCAAGTTACTTACTTTTGGGCTCCTTGAATACTTGTGGTCTCTTCTTGGCTTTGGCCCTTTCTTCCTCCTCCCTCCTCTGCTGAGCTCTCTCTGTCAAACAGCACCATAGTCAATCACTAAGTACAATTCCAGTAATGGATTGTCTGTGTGCGTGCGTGCGTGTGTGTGCGTGTGTGTGTATGGGCAAATGCAGTAATGCCTCAGAGGACCCACATGCCTTCACATTGCAGATAGGAAGGAAACCAGATGTATTCTATTTCTCAAAATTCAGGAATGTGCTGATTAAATTCAGATTGTTCTTTTTTTTCTTCAGTAAATCAATGACAGGCCGCAGCATACTCCCTACGTTGGTTGCACACTGTTGTATCCAAGCTTTCATAACCACCAGTCACATATTATGGGTAACCCTGCTAAAAGTGTCAACATCTATAACTGGATGTGAAAGCTGCCACATTTTTTATTCAGTGTGGTTTTGTTCTACATACACATGTTCAGTCACAGACAGTGGTGGACAGAGTATGTACACACACACACTGTCACACATACACACTTGCACACACACAAGCAAGCACACACCTGTTTAATAACTCAGTGACTTCAGTTGAGTGGTTTTGGTTTATAACCTTATAAAGATTATCCCAAGCTGAAAATGCTGTATATCTGTCATCCTTTCACTGGTTAACCCCACACAATATATATCTACACTGAATGTACAAAACATTAAGGACACCTTCCTAATATTGAGTTCCATTTTGACTCCAATGCTTCTCACAGTTCTGTCAAGTTGGCTGGATGTCCTTTGGATGGCAGACCATTCTTGGTACACAGGGGAATCTGTTGAGCGTGGAAAAACCCAGCAGCGTTGCAGTTCTTGACACAAACCAGTGAACCTGGAACCTACTACCATACCCCGTTCAAAGGCACTTCAATCTTTTGTCTTGCCAATTCACCCTCTAAATGGCACACATACACAATCCATGTCTCAAATGTTTCAAGGCTTAAAAATCCTTCTTTAACCTGTCTCCTCCCCTTCATCTACACTGATTTGAAGTGGATTTAACAAGTGACATCAATAAGGGATCATACCTTTCACCTGGATTCACCTGGTCAGTCTATGTCATGGAAAGAGCAGATGTCCTTAATGTTTTGTACACTCAGTGTAATTTCCCATAGACAAATGTCCCTGGTTCCATTCTGATTATACATTTATCTGGTTCTACCCTCCTCGCTGTGCAGGAGGTGCAGTACAGAATAGAACATGTGGCAACAGCTGTTGGTTCTCATCCCAAGTGTTTAGATCTTAATTCTAAGCTCGTGATTTCAACATCTCTCCCCTTACTGTTAGACTCTCTACTCTGTTTCTATCCTTTATGTTGTTTTCTCTCTTTCCCTCTATCTTTCCTTCCAGCATGTTCTGTAACCTCTCTTGGCTGCCCCGTCTCTCCCTTTCTTTCTGCTCCAGCTCAAAGCTCCAAAACTTCTTCCATGCACCAATACACATTAAAGAGATTTACGTTTTAGTCATTTAGCAGACTCTGTTATCCAGAGGGACTTACAGAAGCAATTAGGGTTAAGTGCCTTGCTCAAGGGCACATTGACAGATCTTTCACCTAATCGACTCAGGGATTCGAATCAGTGACCTTTCGGTTACTGACCTAACGCTCTCACTCTACCCCAGGCTTTCCTTCCCTACCTTCCCTCACAACACATTTCTATGGTGGAGATTTGACCTGTTCTAGAGAGAATGAACTTTTGTCCCTCGTCTTAGCAAGTGAAGCCATACTGAAGCTTCACAGCCACATGTTTGCAATTCCCAGGTAGAGACTGACATCTGTGTTTTTTCCCCGCATTCGCTTTAAGCGGAAACATGAACCAATAGGGACTTCACTACATTATGAATCTGTGAGTGACATTGTCTAATGTTAATCTGCTTGACTGGGAGCTTTGACAGTGCAAAGTATGACATTGCAGTGTTACTAAGTTTTACTTGCAATGACTGTGATATGTGGTTGATTTACCTGCCTTAGTTGTTTTACCTACCTTAGTTGAATGGACACAAAAAAATGCTGGGTTGTTTGGCTGACCCAACTGCTGGGTTGCAGACATTGGGTCACTTAGTTGGGTTGTTTTTCTTTAAAAAGAGCAAGTTTGAGTTGTTGATGCTGGGTTATTGAAATATACAGTGCCTTGCAAAAGTATTCATACCCCTTGGCCCTTTTCCTATTTTGTTGCATAACAACCTGTAATTTAAATGGATTTTTATTTGATTTTCATGTAATGGACATACACAAAATAGTCCAAATTGGTGAAGTCAAATTCAAAACATTCTAAAAAATTAATAACGGAAAAGTGGTGCGTGCATATGTATTCACCCCCTTTGCTATGAATCCCCTAAATAAGATCTGGTGCAACCAATTACCTTCAGAAGTCAAATAATGTGTTAAATAAAGTCTACCTGTGTGCAATCTAAGTGTCACATGATCTGTCACATGATCTCAGTATATATACACCTGTTCTGAAAGGCCCCAGAGTCTGCAACACCACTTAGCAAGGGGCACCACCAAGCAAGCGGCACCATGAAGACCAAGGAGCTCTCCAAACAGGTCAGGGACAATTTTGCAGAGAAGTACAGATCAGGGTTGGGTTATAAAAAAATATCCAAAACTTTGAACATCCCACGGAGCACCATTAAATCCATTATTAAAAAATGGAAAGAATATGGCACCACAACAAACCTGCCAAGAGAGGGCCGCCCACCAAACTCACGGACCAGGCAGGGCTTTAATCAGAAAGGCAACAAAGAGACCAAAGATAACCCTGAAGGAACTGCAAAGCTCCACAGCGGTAATTGGAGTATCTGTCCATAGGACCCCTTTAAGCCATACACTCCACAGAGCTGTGCTTTACGGAAGAGTGGCCAGAAAAAAGCCATTGCTTAAAGAAAAAAATAAGCAAACACGTTTGGTGTTCGCCAAAAGCCATGTGGGAGACACCCCAAACATATGGAAGAAGGTACTCTGGTCAGATGAGACTAAAATTGAGCTTTTAGGCCATCAAGGAAAACGCTATGTCTGGCGCAAACCCAACACCTCTCATCACCCCGAAAACACCATCCCCACAGTGAAGCATGGTGGTGGCAGCATCATGCTGTGGGGATGCTTTTCATCGGCAGGGACTGGGAAACTGGTCAGAATTGAAGGAATGATGGATGGCGCTAAATACAGGGAAATTCTTGAGGGAAAACTGTTTCAGTCTTCCAGAGATTTGAGACTGGGATGGAGGTTCACCTTCCAGCAGGACAATGACCCTAAGCATACTGCTAAAGCAACACTTGAGTGGTTTAAGGGGAAGCATTTAAATGTCTTGGAATGGCCTAGTCAAAGCCCAGACCTCAATCCAATTGAGAATCTGTGGTATGACTTAAAGATTGCTGTACACCAGCGGAACCCATCCAATTTGAAGGAGCTGGATCAGTTTTGCCTTGAAGAATGGGCATAAATCCCAGTGGCTAGATGTGCCAAGCTTATAGAGACATACCTCAAGAGACTTGCAGCTGTAATTGCTGCAAAAAGTGGCTTTACAAAGTATTGACTTTGGGGGGGTGAATAGTTATGTACGCTCAAATTTTCTTTTTTTTTGTCTTGTTTCTTGTTTGTTTCAAAATAAAAAATATTTTGCATCTTCAAAGTGGTAGGCATGTTGTGTAAATCAAATGATACAAACCCCCAAAAAATCCATTTTAATTCCAGATTGTAAGGCAACAAAATAGGAAAAATGCCAAGGGGGGTGAATACTTTCGCAAGCCACTGTAATCCAGTGGATCAGATCAGAAGACTGAAGGCATGGCTTAATAGGGGAGTGGCTTTCAGATAGTGAGAGCAAATGTTGTATTGTTATCACATGTTAAGGTTGAACACTGACAGTTTTGTAGCTTTAATGAGGCTTATACAACTGTATGAGTTCCTTAAGAGCCTATGAAAATCACAATGTTAGAATTTTCAATTAGTAAATAATAATGTTATTAATATAAACTTGCAGTGTTCAAACTTAACATGATGAACAAGAATGACATTTACTCTCATGGGTGGCCAGAAATAACTATCTGAAAGCCACACCTCTAATAAGCCACGCCTCCTGAAAATTACCTAAGGATTACATTAAAGTTTTTCTCAATCGCGTACAACAACATTTTGGATCTGTGTTGAAACGTATCTATAGCAGAAAAGCAATCATCAAATGCTCAAATAAATTTACAAAACTTCTGATAATTTTCTTGCCTTAGTACCTGACTTGCATATCTTAGACCACCTTTTGCAAAACATTAAATGCAAATGATTCGGTGAATACAAAATTCACTGTTAAGTGTTTTGTTCACACAGAATATTAACACATTGTTTTCATCAGAAGAGAAATGTGTCCAATTGTGTTCACTGTTACTGGTAATCAGTAAATACTAATGCACGAAATTCTAAATCATCCCATCAGCGCCATGTACAATATATAGAAAGATCTAGGCAATGGGGACTGTCTAATTGTTAGGATTGTTTTACAATATTGCGGACATGCAGCTATGCAGAGAATGAAGTTGGGTTACTTCTAACTCTGGGTTACTCCTAAATCATCATCTCCAACATTGTGACCTTCCATTATGGAGCTTTGCTTTGGTGTGGATTGAGGCCTATACATTCATATCAGTTGTGTTCCTCCATTGTATTTACCTTTCCTATTTCTATTGTGGGATTGTGTTTCTGTGCCCAATTGGAAACTCTACAAAACTATGAGCAACCTAGCCTATGTAATTGAATACTGTACATGGAAATGGATTTTGATGATACCCATGAATGAATCCTGCACAATGTGCTTATTTTTTATATCATTTTATATCAGGGATAATATTTGATTTGATGTGTATGAAAGTGTTTGGTGAAATATGCATTAAAGGCGAATAATTGCCCATAATTTTGCATGTTTGTATAGTTATACTTCCAATTTTAATTATCATGATTTAGTGAATGCAAAGAAAATGTTTTGATCTACTGGGATTTTTAAAAGACAGACTAACTTTCTGATTTGTCTGCTTGGACAAAAGTATGGTTGCGTTAATCTTTTTGCAGGGCAGTCATGTTCTTTTGATGAATGTATTTGCAATTTCGACTGTATAATATAGTTTTGATGATTGTATTTATGTTTTGAGAAGGCAACTACATTTTGAAAACACATTTACTGTTTTGCAAAAGGGAGTTCTGTGTCTTATGGACTCTGTTTTGAAAATCAACAACATGATTCCAAAGAATGCTTGTCAACCCAGAATAAAAGTTAATTAAAACCCAACTGATTGTTAAATTAATGTTTGGGTAATCCCAACAACCCAACATGTTGGGTTATTCACGCAACCCAATTGGTTGGCTGGGTCAAAATAACCCAGTGTGTGTTCTATCCAATATTTACCCAGCGCTGGGTTACCAAAAACCCAACAATTGGTTGATTTTAACCCAGCATTTTTTTATGAGTGCGTTGACTGTAAGTTGCTCTGGATAAATGCAAATGTTACTGTATAATGTGAAGTATCTACAACTGAAGATAGATGGATCACAGTCCTTCAGATCATAATGGAAAATAGGCTGTGCACAATACCTCTATCCTCTCTCTCCTTTTCTTTCCTTTGTGTCTCTCTCTCCTTCTCCTCCCCCTCCTCCTGTTTTTTCGCTGTGGTAAACAAAGGAGTGAAAAACAATCATGGATGAATTAGAGGGTGAATTCATTTCCCCCACCTCCCCATTCCATGTAACAGTATACTGTGTAGGTGGGGTGTTTTCAGTGGAGTGAAACATTTACAATGTTGGAGATAGAATAACAAATAGCTGTCATGATTTCCTATTGTACCTGACAGACAATCAATCATAATATACACAATACATTTACAGTTTCCCCCTCCTGAACAGGCCCAGGTGTTTCTTAAGGTTTGCCACATATCCAAATGATAAACATGACAAAGCGTTTGAAGGGGGTAATAATCTTAGTCATTGACCTGACTGTTGTTTGTTCCAGTTACTTGGTATTTGCTTATTTGGCTGTTTGTAACATCAGCTGCCAAAGTCTTGCTAAACCCAGACCATGTAATTGAAACAGTCTGACAGTATACACTCTTCTTCATTCTTGTGGGGAATGAGAAGTGTAAACCCATTACTTTTGACTCTGTGGTAAAGGTCCAGTTCTTTATTGTGTCTATCTAATCTTCATTTTACCGCAGGGTCCAATTGAAATGAAAAACATATTTCTATTGAAGATATGGCCAAGGGTTAATGTTACAGGTCAGAGTGCATGTGTGTGTATGTGTGTGTGTGTGTATGTCTGTGTGTTTTTGGTTTTACTTCACAAGGATAGTAAAACAAGAAAAATACAGACAAGTGGAGACATTTCGTCAGTCCCCACAAGGCTATTTTAGGCTTAAGGGTTAGTTTTAGGGTTACAATTATGGTTAAGGTTAGAATTAGGGTTAGGGGTTAAGGTTAGGGTTAGGTTAAGGGTTAGGGTTGGGTTTAGGGGTTAGGGAAAATAGGATTTTGAATGGGAATCAATTGTTTGGTTCCCACAAGGACAGTAAAACAAACGTGTGTGTGTGTGTGCGTGTGTGTGTGCGTGTGTGTGTACATACTCTGTCCACCACTATGCCCGTAGTCATACTCCTCGTACCATGGGCTTTCATAGGTGGCTGGTGGTGTAACAGGCTCCTCTGTATTGGAGGGAGAAAACACAAACACATCATTACAGTAGCCTAGACTGATTAGCACACTGTTTCTGCATTGATTCAACAGGCAAAACCACGACAACTTGGCTCAAGCAGGAGCAGACTGGCAGCCTGTCTAGTAGGACTATTAGCTTTTTACTAAACAACATCACAGAGAGAGTCTCTTTCCAAAGCTCTCTGAAGCTAAAATGTAGTATATAGTTTCAAAACATGAATACAGTAATCTTCCAATACAGTGATGGTGGAACAGTGCCTTTATTTCTGCAGCCACAACAGACACTCTCTGTTTGGACCCACATAAAGCTAGCGTAACACGCTGCCTGTTATTTGCCTAGTTAAATGTTTAGTTTAAATTTACAAGGAATATAACAGAGCAGCCATCTTGTGAAAGGCTTCTCGCTCAAAAACAAAACCATGAAAAGCCTTTGATTGTTTAGCACTACACTCTCATCTAAAAAGCAGAGTGATGATCTAGCCTCCTACTCTGATGTCATTCCCTGGACTAAGAGCTCTATTCAATCTGATCCGCTTTAGCTGACATCCTTATAGCGGTTGTTTTTGGCATTGGCTGCACTGAGTTGCATTAAGAGAAATCCCATGCAGCTTAGTTCAAACACAGGAATGTGAGAAGTGTAATCTATACCTCGACTAGGCTGATAGAAATCCTCATTATTTAGTTTAATGATTTTCTATTTGAGCGCCATTATTTCTATATAGCCTACACTTTCTTGTTCTGAAATTCTAATGCCAGTGGGACGGGTGTGGCTTTGTGACAATGATCAAGAGCAGCTGCTCACCGATTTGACAGCTCCAATGACACCGGCAAAACATCAGCTGATCTGATTGAATCTAGGTCTAAGCGTATGGTTTATAGGATCTACTCCCACACTATAAACCCTAAAACAGGGGTTGTTTTTCATTCTTAGAAAGGAGGAATAGCAGCATACACTATGGCCCTCTAAACAGTGACTGACTGACTGACTGACCGACTGACTGATTGACCGACTGACTGACTGTCTGATTGGTTAATTGAGATGTAAGTCACCTGTGACAGCGTAGCTCCAGTCATCTTTCTCTGTGGGGACGACCTCTTTACCGTCAGGGAAAGGAAGATTCTCGGGCACCTCGTCTGTTATTGGAGAATGGAGAAAATGAGAAATTGAGAGATCTCAGAGAATAAAGAGAGCAGAAAATAGAAAAGAGAGAGCAAAATGGAAGAGCGCGTGATAAAAGACGCACATGAGAGTAAGGAAGGAGACAGATGGAGAAGTACGAGTAGAGAAAGAAGAGAAAGGAGAGGATGAGAACGGAGAGAGATGATGGAGTGAGAACAGAGAGAAATGGAGAGGTACAGGAGAGTGAGTTACTGTAGGAGTGGAAATCTGGAGGAATGGTAGAGTGAAACAGTAGTGGAATTATGGACACAGTAAACGTAATGTAAACCTGTTGCAGCCATCATATAAAGTACAGATGAGCTGAGCTTTGCAATGAATGTCACTGACAAACCTTCACATGAGATGAGATTTCCATCATATAAGGTGGAAAACCTGACTCATTGGTTAAAGAGTCCAGTTGGCAAATATCATAAAGGGTTCGATTTAGAGAGGATCTGGAGGAGAAATGCACAAGGCCAATCTGTTCAACATGTGCTGTTATAACATCCAGGTCACCTGTGATACAAGTCAGTATTCGACGTCCATCCATGTCTGAGGACGTCGGGAGATGATGTGTAAACCGGCCACTAGGGGCAACAGTGAGCGCTGTTACCTTCAAGTAGGTTTCGGTTTTACTAGGGCATTGTGAACGGGGATGGTTGATGGGTGTAAGCATCTACCTCTGATTCCAGAAGCTGCAAATTAAAATCCAGCAATAGAAAGTAATTTTTGATGTTTTTTTTTAACCCTATCCCAAACCTTAACCCTTAGCTTAACCATTCAGAGTTAATGCCTAACCTTAAGAATTTGGAGTTAATGCCTGAACTTAACCCTAACCTTAAAAATTCTGAGTTAATAGCTAAACTTAACCTTAAAGACTTTGAAATTCGACATTTGGAACAACTTCGCAATTTGACGTTTGAGAAACATGGATGAACATCTAATTCTGACGTGATACTGTGAGAGCTGGTAGGTTATAACCCTATACACGTTTAAACTAATAGCTAGTATTTAAAAAAATACTTGACTAAATACTTGAAATGTATAATCAAAGTTATTTCAATCTGGTATTTTTTTGTAGTTGGTGCCTTTGTCCATTCTTGATACACACGGGAAACAGTTGAGCGTGAAAAACCCAGCAGCGTTGCAGTTCTTGACACAAACTGGTGCGCCTGGCACCTACTACCATGCCCCATTCAAAGGCACTTAAATATTTTGTCTTGCCTACTCACCATCTGAATGGCACAAAAACACAATCCATGTCTCAATTGTCTCAATCCTTCTTTAACCTGTCTCCTCCCGTTCATCTAGACTGATTTGAAGTGGATCAATAAGGGATCATAGCTTTCACCTGGATTCACCTGGTCAGTCTATGTCATGGAAAGGTGTTCTTAATGTTTTGTACACTCAGTGTAAATGGACAACCATCAATGACGTCACACCATTCAATTAAATGTGAAGACTCAATGGCACATTTGAAGCTCAGGAAGTCGGTTTTAGCTTGCTAGACATAACATGCGCAGTTTGAGTTACTCCAGGAAGTGACGTTTCAAGCTAGCTCAGTGCTGCCCCCTCTCATTGAGTATTTCAAGTACTGCAGGCTGCAGCAAATAAATTATCCTTATATTCCTCTATTTTCCTTATTTATTCCACAGCACTGTTGAATACTCGTTTCTGATTGTCTAGAAAGGCATACTGTGTGTGATTTCGAAATAATCGATTCAAGGACTTACATCTGATGTAATAGAAGCAAGTATTGGTACCATGATTGTCTTCTAATTTTTATTTTATTTACATGAATATTGAGCATTAAGATTGCCATTTTTCCATTGCCTATATTGGGGGATCCTGCTTCCTGGCCATAACAGCCTTTTGTACCCCGGTCGACCTTGAACTTCATGGCTTCAATGAAAGGGGGAAGTCGTTCTCCCCTGATTCATTCATTCATTCGGTCAATGAGTCAGTCATTTTAGAACACAGAGGGAGATGAAACATACATCTGGCGTCCCAGTAGTCCTCGTCTCCCTTGTCCCCCTCTCCATCCACCACAGAAGTGGGGGGCGTGGCCGTTGGGTCTTCTCCCTTCCAATAGTCATCTTCTGGGTCGACCACTGGGCCTGCAGGCTCCTCCTCATCTGGCTTCCAGTAGTCATCCTCTATCAGAGGGACACATGGACAGTAGAGGTAAAATTATTAGTGTGGAGATTTTTTTTTAAACAAAATCCACATGGTTTTTCAAGGTACAAATAAAACCATAAACAAAGTGGCTATGCTATAAAGTTTTGAGTGGTATTAGAACACTGAGGCACCGGCTTCAGATAAATTATATAATGCTTTGTCATCTGTACACATGATCTCACCGTTGTCTGGGTAGGGGTAGTCTGGGTATGGGTCAGGTTCTGTGGGAGCTTCAGATGGGACAGAGATCAAAGTCTTACAAACAACTTAGTTCCTCACACAATACAAAGCCTTTAAAATCTAATCAACCAATTCTAGTCTGTTTTGATTGAAAACGTTGATTACAGTAGTAAAGTGGTGTGCTACTGCATTACCTGCTTCTCTGTACACCTCTGTGGTAGTTGTGGGTGGTGGTGTGGTAGTTGTGGGTGGTGGTGTGGTAGTTGTGGGTGGTGGTGTGGTAGTAGTGGGTGGTGGAGTTGTAGGTGCTTCTCTCTGTGGCTCCTTGTCTTTGCCCCGGCGGCCTCCCTTCTCTTTTGGCTTTTTGTCTGCTTTAGGCTTCTTGGTGGCCTTGGGCTCTTTGGGCTCCTTGTTTTTCTTGTCTTTCTTGTCCTTCTTGTCCTTCTTGTCCTTCTTGTCCTTCTTTTTCTTCCCTTTGCCCTCCTCTTCCTCTGAGGCTCTCCTGACCCTGGCTTGGAGATGGACAACGGAGCAGAGGAAAGGAAAGTGAATAAACTTGGTAATTTTGACGTGTTGATCCCTGAGGGTCCAACGTCAAGTTTAACAGCATATAACACTCCTATAGCAGTCGGATATGCCAGGATATGACAAGACGGCATTCAAACAAAGGTTATAAATCAAAACCAACTCTCTGCTACTGAAACAGACTGATGAGAGATAGAGAGACAGATAAACAAATAGAAATAGAGTGATAGAGTGAGAGGGGACCGAGAGAGATGGAGAGAAATGGAGACAGAGAGTGCGAAAAAGAGAGACAGACAGACAGACATACTGACAGAAATCCCGGTCCAGACAGGTGTAACGGGGAAGGGGAATCTGCCAGACAGAATCACTCTAGCAGGGGGCACAGCTGAGCTAACGTCTGGCAGACAGGCTGTGTGTGTGTGTGTGTGTGTGTGTGTGTGTGTGTGTGTGTGTGTGTGTGTGTGTGTGTGTGTGTGTGTGTGTGTGTGTGTGTGTGTGTGTGTGTGTGTGTGTGTGTGCGCGTGCGTGCGTGCGTGCGTGCGTGCGTGCGTGCGTGTGTGACGTAGAGGAGATGACGGTGTCCTGTGCAGAAGAAAGGCTCCTCTGTTCGCATGGTGAAACAACAGGGTCCTCTACACACACACACACACACACACACACACACACACACACACACACACACACACACACACACACACACACAAACACATCAAGGAGAGGGACTGTAGTGACATCATCACACCGAAGGTCAAGGAGATCTCATCTGGGTTTTTATAAATGTTTCCACATTACGTCACATAACATTAAAACATTCCATAATCACATAATCAGTTTCTATCTGATGTGTAATGGATAAAATATAAATATCTTCTTCTTTCTGCATGCTATGTATAGGATGTGGATGTAATTGTGCTCTTGTGCTCTTGTGCTACTTACTGATGGTGCTGCCTAAATTGCCACGGAGGGTATTGTATTGTATTGTATTATATTGTATTGTATTGGGAAACAAGAAGTTGTGTAACTACAGAAGTCAGTGGAGTGTCTCATTGGTATTTCCCTCTCTCTATTAGTGGCTTTCTGAGTACCTGTGCCAGTGACATCTGTGGAAAAGAGGCTGTGTATTCAAGGAAAATATTCCTCTCCGTTTTGTAAACCCAGTCAAACTGTAATGGCACGCTGTCAGAGCATCATCAACATTGTCCTGTCCCTGTCCTTAAGAAATCTGATTCTGTGTAGTTGGTGTTTCTAATATATTTTCAATTGTGCAAGCCACAAATAGGTAGCCTATAACAGTAGTAGTAAGTTTTACATAGTTATACAGTACCTATTAGCTAATGTAATTACCATGTAAATACAAGGTTTTAGTGCAATTTAATTGGGAAATGGGACTGATTAAACTAACAGATGTGTGTGCTGAAGTTTCCTCGATGTTAAGCTGTGAATCTCAGAAACAAAATGTTTTATAACTAACACTATATCATCAGTCCGTCTCAGAGGGTGAATCCTTCCACTGTGGAGCTGGGTTCTATGGTACAGCACAGTACCTTGGAAAATAAAAGTTAACTGTACGAATCTTTCTGCAAAATGCTCAGTTCAGAGCCCAGCCAGTTCTGCTACTGCAGCAGACTGAATCTTCCCCAGTCCCAGGTCTACTCTGCTTTGGGCCAAAAGACACAGTCCAGATATGTGTGAGCTGGAGACAGAAAGGTAAGAGTACTGTATGGTGTGGTGTGGTGTGTGTTTGTGGGGCGCGGACACTGTTGACTGAACAGTGTGTGGGTAATTCAGGAAACCGCTGGCTTCTTTCAAGACCAACACTCTCCATTCATCCTCCTCCTCCACCTGCCCTGTGCCCTGTCCCCTGTGCCTGCCTGATGATGTAATATAATGTTCTCCAATCCTCATCCTGGAAGGAGGCATCTGTTCCAGCCCAACAACCAGACACTGTTGATTATTCTACTACTAAGGGTTTGATCATTAGTTCATACGATGATAAGATGTGTTACTGCTGGGCTGGAACAAAGGCCTGTACACCCGGTGAGTCCTAGGACTAGGATCCAAGAACACTGATGCAACATAAGCCAGGGGTTCCAAAACAGTTTGCTGATAAAACCATCCATGTTTCTAGCCACAACTCAGTTGGGACCCAATTATCCACTTAATAACATATATAGCATTATAATAGGAAGGTACCCACTAGGCAAAAACTGGTTGAATCAACTTTGTTTCCACGTCATTTCAACCAAAAAATTCAATGTGATGACTTTGAATCAACGTGGAAAACTGAATTTGCAAAAAGTCTTCAACGTAAGGGAATTTTGTTTTTTAAATTTTGTTTAATCTAATTCCAATGACAGGGTGACATTTTTGGTTGAGTTGAATTCACGCTAGTTGACAACTCGACCAAATGTAAATAAAAACTAGATGTTGAACTGATGTCTGTGCCCAGTGGGTTGGTTTTGTTCTTACCTGGTAGGGCATCCTCCTCTGTGGCTCTCTTTGCCTTGCTAGTCTGGCTTTGTGTCTCTGTGAGTTCCTCTTCTTTAGCTGGTTCAGCCTGGGACTCCTCTCCATGTAGGGCCTGCATCCCTCCCTCCTCCACAGCCTGGCCTAAAGAGACAATGCCTCCTGCACTCTCGCCTGCTCTGGGCAGTAGCACACAGCATAAGGCCAGCAGAACCAAACACACCACTGCAGTATGACCTCCCATCCTCCCTACTCTACCTGCCTCAGGATTCTACCTCAATGTTCCACTGAAGAGTTCCAGCTCAGTGTTCCAATTAAGTATCCCACCTCAGTACTCTAGTTCAGATTTCCCAAATTCTTGCTAAAAGTTCCAGCTCAGAACGCTACTCAGAAATTCTACAGAAGTGTTCTATATCTGTATTCTACCACAGAATTCTACCTCACCAAAACACCTCAGTTTGTCTCAGTTTTCTACTCTAGTGTTCCATGCCTTCTCTCCGGTGAGGAAGATTCTGGAGCTCCAAGTCACAGCCAGAACCAGACTCACTCAGAGCATGAGGCAGGGCTGGACACAGAGAGAAGGAAAGAGTGAGGGAGGGAGGGAGGGAGGAAGGAAGAGGGAGGGAGATCAGTCCAATTGTCCTGCAATTGAACTAAAGGAAAAACGAGATCCACATTTCTCCTGGATCGACAGCTGAAAAAATTATTATTGAGAGAGATATAATCCCCTTCACTAAACTGATGAGTTGCAACAGGTGCAGAGAGCAAAAGGAGATCTCAGCATAGATTGAGCAGAGCAGCTCACTGGAGAAGCCAGGAGATGGAAGGAAGAATCCAGGTTGGCTCTATAGAGGCTGTAACTCCTGGTTGGAGAGGTGAAAAGAGCTTAGTCCTGCAGCAGAGCACTTCTTCCACTTCTTCCTCCACACTGCCTGCTTTCCCCTTTGCAGACTGCCACAGGAATGGAAAGGGGGGGAGAGAAGGTGGGGGAGGAGTCGAGGACAGAGTGTGTTTGTGCTAACAATATTGAACCCCACAGATATTTAAGGAACAGAAGAACATAATACTACTGCTATACACACCTTTATCTATTCACATACTGTCCATACATATATATAATTGATATTCCTGACTCAGGTCTAGAAGCAAATTTACTGCAATCCTATCCATTTTTCTATAGGGTTTTGTACTGTGTTTTTATATACGGTATTATCGACATACACTACCGGTCAAAAGTTTTAGAACACTTACTCATTCAAGGGTTTTTCTTAATTTTTACTATTTTCTACATTGTTGAATAATTGTGAAGACATCAAAACTATGAAATAATACATATGGAATCATGTAGTAACCAAAAAAGTGTTAAACAAATCAAAATATATTTTATATTTGAGATTCTTCATCTAACCACCCTTTGCCTTGATGACAGCTTTGCACACTTGGCATTCTCTCAACCAGCTTCACCTGGAATGCTTTTCAAACAGTGTTGAAGGAGTTCCCACATATGCTGAGCACTTGTTGACTGCTTTTCCTTCACTCTGCGTTCCGATTCATCCCAAACTATCTCAATTTGGTTGAGGTCAGGGGATTGTGGAGGCCAGGTCATCTGATGCAGCACTATATCACTGTCCTTCATGGTAAAATAGCCCTTACACAGGCTGGAGGTGTGTTTTGGGTCATTGTCCTGTTGAAAAACAAATGATAGTCACACTAAGCCCAAACCAGATGGGATGGCGTATCGCTGCAGAATGCTGTGGTAGCCATGATGAATAAGTGTGCCTTGAATTGTAAATAAATCACAGACAGTGTCACCAGCAAAGCACCCCCACACCATAACATCTCCTCCTCCATGCTTTACGGTGGGAAATACACATGCGGAGATCATCCGTTCACCCACACCGTGTCTCACAAAGACACGGCGGTTGGAACCAAAAATCTCCAATTTGGACTCCAGACCAAAGGACACATTTCCACCGGTCTAATGTCCACTGTTCGTGTTTTTTGGCTCAAGCAAGTCTCTTCTTATTATTGGTGTCCTTTAGTAGTGGTTTCTTTGCAGCAATTCGACCATGAAGGCCTGATTCACACAGTCTCCTCTGAACAGTTGATGTTGAGATGCATCTGTTACTTGAACTCTGTGAGGCTGGTACCAGCTTTTTGAGGCTGGTAACTCTAATGAACTTATCCTCTGCAGCAGAGGTAACTCTGGCTCTTCCATTCCTGTGACGGTCCTCATGAGAGCCAGTTTCATCATAGCGCTTGATGGTTTTTGCGACTGCACTTGAAGAAACTTTCAAAGTTCTTGAAATGTTCCGTATTGACTGACCTTAATGTCATAAAGTAATGATGGACTGTCGTTTCTCTTTGCTTATTTGAGCTGTTCTTGCCATAATATGGACTTGGTCTTTTACCAAATAGGGCTATCTTCTGTATACCCCCCTACCTTGTCACAACACAACTGATTGGCTCAAACGCATTAAGAAGGAAAGAAATTCCACAAATTAACGTTAATTGAAATGCATTCCAGGTGACTACCTCATGAAGCTGGTTGAGAGAATGCCAAGAGTGTGCAAATCTGTCATCAAGGCAAAGGGTGGCTATTTGAAGAATCTCTAATATAAAATATATTTTAATTTGTTTAACACTTTTTTGGTTACTACATGATTCCATATGTGTTATTTCATAGTTTTGATGTCTTCACTATTATTCTACAATGTAGAAAATAGTAAAAATAAAGAAAAACCCTTGAATGAATAGGTGTTCTAAAACATTTGACCGGTAGTGTAGCTTATTCTAATATTTCTACTACTATACATTGTATTTTAGTTACACTGTTTATACACACCAAATATTTATTTTATTTTATATACTGGATTCTTGACATATCTCACTCTAATATACCTACTGCTGTACATACAGTGCCTTCAGGAAGTATTCATACCCTTTGACTTATTCCACATTTTGTTGTGTTACAGCCTGAATTCAAAATGGATTCAATATATTTTTTCCTCACCCATCTACACACAATACCCCATAATGACAAAGTGAAATGTTTTTAAAAGTTGGCAAATGTATTGAAAATTAAATACAGAAATATCTCATTTACGCAAGTATTCACAACCCTGAGTCAATACTTTGTAGAAGCACCTTTGGCAGCGATTACAGCTATGAGTCTTTCTGGTTAAGTCTTGAAGGCCGTGTCTAGACTTGACAGTTCATGCAGCTTTTGTATTCTGATAATGGAGTTCTGATCATGGAATTCTGAACACATCATGCATCTACATTTACATTTAAATGTGTCCACCATGTCCATATTGTGTCCGTTCCCACGCTATATTCAAATGCCAGTATGCATTCTACAAATGGTGGAATAGGCCAAATATCATAATAACACAACAACAACTGATGGCACTAGCTAACTACTGTAGCTAACTAGCCAGCTAACCTCTGTAGCTAGAAAGCAAGATAGCAAGCAACGCTAAAGGGATTGCAAACGGGTTAGCATAACTCTCGTTTTGCAAAATATTAGATAGCTGGCTAGCATTTATGAGGCCAGCAAACACGTTCCTCACACGGTAGAACCGTATTTCCTCCAGCGTTATAATGAAAAGGTACCTCTCGGTCCCGAAAACATACGTTTCTTGGAGACTTGTGGGGGGAGTGCTGATGACGTCGCCCACTGTATGCGCTTTCAGTAGCCTGATTGCATCCAGACTGAGGAGAACTCCGCACACAATGCATCCTTGACCACCTCCTGTGGTCAGGGATGTGGTCAAACATGTGGTCAAACAGACCCGTATTTTCAATGCGAGATTTGTATTCTGATAGCAGATGTCGCATGTAAGTGTCAAGTGTAGACATGACCTAAGACCTTTCCACACCTGGATTGTGGAACATTTGCCCATTATTCTTTTAAAAATTCTTCAAGCTCTGTCAGATTGGTTGTGGATCATACAGTTGAAGTCGGAAGTTTACATACACTTAGGTTGGAGTCATAAAAACTTGTTTTTCAACCACTCCACTAATTTCTTGTTAACAAACTATAGTTTTGGAAAGTTGGTTAGGACATCTACTTTGTGCATGACACAAGTCATTTTTCCAACAATTGTTTACAGACAGATTATTTAACTTATAATTCACTGTATCACAATTCCAGTGGTTCAGAAGTTTACATACACTAAGTTGACTGTGCCTTTAAACAGCTTGGAAAATTCCAGAAAATGATGTCATGGCTTTAGAAGCTTCTGAGAGGCTAATTGACATCATTTGAGTCAATTGGAGGTGTACCTGTGAATGGATTTCAAGGCCTACCTTCAAACTCAGTGCCTCTTTGCTTGACATCATGGGAAAATCAAAAGAAATCAGCCAAGACCTCAGAAAATAAATTGTAGACGTCCACAAGTCTGGTTCATCCTTGGGAGCAATTTCCAAACGCCTGAAGTTACCACGTTCATCTGTACAAACAATAGTACGCAAGTATAAACACCATGGGACCACGCAGCCGTCATACCGTTCAGGAAGGAGACGCATTCTGTCTCCTAGAGATGAACGTACTTTGGTGCGAATAGTGCAAATCAATCCCAGAACAACAGCAAAGGACCTTGTGAAGATGCTGGAGGAAACCGGTACAAAACTATCTATATCCACAGTAAAACGAGTCCTATATCGACATAATCTGAAAGGCCTCTCAGCAAGGAAGAAGCCACTGCTCCAAAACCGCCATAAAAAAGCCAGACTACGGTTTGCAACTGCACATCTCCAAAGATCGTACTTTTTGGAGAAATGTCCTCTGGTCTGATGAAACAAAAATAGAACTGTTTGGCCATAATGACCAAAGTCATGTTTGGAGGAAAAAGGGGGTTGCTTGCAAGCCGAAGAACACCATCCCAACCGTGAAGCACGGGGGTGGCAGCATCATGCTGTGGGGGTGCTTTGCTGCAGGAGGGACTAGTGCACTTCACAAAATAGATGGCATCATGAGGAAGGAAAATTATGTGGATATATTGAAGCAACATCACAAGACATCAGTCAGGAAGTTAAAGCTTGGTCATAAATGGATCTTCCAAATGGACAATGACCCCAAGCATACTTCCAACGTTGTGGCAAAAGGGCTTAAGGACAACAAATCCAGGTATTGGAGTGGCCATCACAAAGCCCTGACCTCAATCCTATAGAAAATTTGTGGGCAGAACTGAAAAAGCGTGTGCGAGCAAGGAGGCCTACAAACCTGACTCAGTTACACCA